AGCCTTGTTCCAACAATGATATCATTCCGAGCCCGCTTCAACCGGGTGGCAGTGTGCCGTGACTGCGCTCCAACCCACGCTCCTGTCACACGCGCGTCTTTTGCAGCGATTATGGCCTCATGGCGATGAAGGGTGGAGTGGAGAACTTGTTCCTGATCGCAAAGGCACAGCTCAGGAATATTTTACCGAATATGTTATCCTTAGTATTACACGTGCAGTGCTTATTGGAGCGTCGAGTGGAACGTACATACGTTTTGGCAGTACCCCATCCTACTTCCATGAGTGGCTGTACCGCCGCATAGTGGACTGCGCCGACGGGTGGAAACGTTCTGGTGCCGCACGCAGGAACGCCTTCACCCGACCTCCGTTAAGCACTACACCTTGTCGCCTTGTGCAACGTAAACTTTCATGCTGCACGTCATGAGCGAAGTGTTGCCTCTGTGTATGAATTGCGCTTGTTCGTTGATTTCCGATTACTGGTTCGGAATGCACATTTTTAATCGTTTTTCGTGGACCAGTTTCTTTTATTTCCTTCAAAAGTGAAGTAATTTTTCTGGAGGTCTGCCATTGTACTTGATTGCAGGCTGTGTGTTGATCAGCGCCGATTACAGCCAGCTGGAGCTTCGTGTATTGGCTCACCTTAGTGGGGATCCCGCTTTGGTGGAAATCCTCAAGGGAGGTGAGTCATTATGGGCACTTTCCACTATTCTCACTCCTGTTACAGCTGTTAAAGACGCGTTCATCGACAACCCGTCAAGAACTTCGCAACTACCGAAGCTTTGAAACTGAATTAGATGTGCTCCGCGACTTAACCATGAACTAAAAGCAGGTTAACCTGTCGAAAATGCTCCAGACAAGGCCTTTTTGTTCCAAGCAAAAGACCAAGATCTGATGGGATTCCGGGCGAGAACTCAGACAGGAGTGAATATTAGGTTGTCCGGAAAGTTCTCAGCGTTTTGTGTTACTATTTTTTGTACATTCATTGCTGATTAAAAACTCATTCTCCCTTGCGTCTCAGTAGTACATCCTGAAGAGAATTTTTTGCGCTATCTGATGGTATAATTGCCGTTTCACCATTGCTTGATAAACCCCCTTTTCCCAAGACTTTTTGAAGCATGTCAAAAGCACTTCGGACGATATTTTCTTCAACTACAAATTCGGGTCAATCCGCAATCGAGACAGCTCAACAAATT